GACAACTCACTGCCCACTGGGACTCCAAGGTAAGGTGCCATTTTGGTGGGTGATGACTTGCTGTTTTCTCCATGAACTTTTGCTGTAAGAAAGCAACTTGTCTCTTCATAACATTTGTCTTGGTTGAGCATCACACGCTTCCCCATGAGGGGAGAATGGCCAGACCTTGTTGGATCAGTGCAGATACTTACTTTGTATTCAGACAGGACTTGAGATAAGACATTAGTGTGAGCAACTGGTGAAGTGCTATGAGGAATGATCAAGGCCTGACACCCTCACTCCTTTCCCACTCCTTTGAGCCACATATTGAAGTGAGGTGCGAGTTCTCCATCAGCTGAAGTGAGGCACTGGCTGTGCCAGACATTACGTAGAGCAGGATTCTGTCCAAAGCCAGGGTAAGCTATGCTTTATGTATGCTTGGGGTACAGTCTTGGCCTCGTGGATGTTGATGGCAGCGTTCCCATTGACTTCATTAGGTCAGGAGTTTGCCCTTGGTTTCTTCTTTTTTTTTTTTTTTTTTTTTTTTTTCCCCTAATCAATATATGTGGGAAGAAGGAAGGAGTCGAGGCTACACTGTGACCAGAGAAAATGCATGGAGCTTCTCTGGGCGTGGTGGTGCGGGGAGAGAGGGAATTCACTGTCCACCTGAGTTGTAACTTGGGTAAGCAGAGTTGGATTTGGTCCATATTGTGGTAAAACAGGCAAAGGGAGAGTGGCAATAAATGTGGGTAAGTAAAATGCCTTTGTCACAGCACTGAACAACAAAATCTTTCCCATCTGGTAGAAGTGTTCTGGATCCAAGGGAAGTTTTTTAGTGAGTTAACTATTGCCAGCAGAGGTTCCAGTGGGACTGAATCGTGGGATCTGAGCAGTGATTGTCCCCCTGGATAAAACTGTGATCTGTCTCATGGAGGATATTCCTTCCCACACTTCTTCAGAGGAGGATGGCCTGTCATGCTTAGGGAAGTGGTAGTGGGAACAGATTTAGGATCTTGTATTTTTGGCCTCTCCTAGTGTCACTTGCATCCTGTATTGGCAGGAACATGATTCTGGATTATTGCATAAAGAAAGCGGGCTCAAGTCCAAATCCAGGAGTAAAATGTAAGTAGGTTTGTTGGACAGCTTGGTTTTAACCACCACATAGTCATCTAGGAAGCAGCCTGGCGGGGTTTCTGTCCCATTGTCCAGCTTCTTCCTTGTAACCTGAGGTTTTCTTGTGTGCATGGCCGCTCTAGCCTGATGTGGATAATGCAGTGGAAGCAGCGAAGGCAGCGTTCCAGAGGGGGTCTCCGTGGAGGCAGATGGATGCCCTAAGCAGAGGACGACTCCTGCACAAGCTGGCCGATCTTCTCGAGCGAGACAGAGTTATCCTGGCAGTAAGTACTGTGGTGGGTGAGCCGTGATAAACCAGCAACAGTTGGCTCATAATTGGGCTCCAACTCTCTGCTTTTGCTGCATCCATGTCTAATGTTTTTCTTTTCTCACCCTTTATGAAGGGCAGAAGAGTCCATGCAGGAGTCATGGCTTCCTCATTCTGCAGGATGATTTTAGGAATCTTAGAAGAAGGCTGTTAGTTCTTCTACGTAGTTGACTTGTTCAAAATTTTAGGTAGTTATTGGAGTGGTTACACATATTACACTTAAATTTTCAAAGTAATAAACGTATTTTTTCACAGTTTAAGTCATCTCCATGTTCATAGCTCTCTCCCAGTTCTTATCTTAAACCAAACAACCCACCCCAAAACAAACAAACCCAAAACAACCAGCACCACCAAAAGAAACCCACCAAAACACAAACCTCTACAACTGACTCAGCCCTTTATTTTTTTTTTTATTTTTTTTTTTTTTAACTGCAAAAGTGCAAGGCCGGTTTGATTTCTTTGCAAATTGCTTCCCCTAAAACGAGAGGCTGGAAGAAGAATCTTTCTCTTGCTGGACGTTGTCCAAAGTTTAAAATGTGTGTAAGTGGGAACAGTTTCTTTCCCTGCTGAATGCACTGGTTTATGAGAATTTCTTTGTATTCGTGAAGCTGTGTGAACTTCTGCAGTGAAGAACTATTGCTAATGATTCCTTATCCTTTCCTGAAGGAAGTTGTGGTGCAAAACAAGGGGAGTAGGACCCAAGCTAAAATGTGCTGCAGTTGGGAGAAGGGTTTAGACCCTCTGGGCCTTGGCCAACTTTCCAAATCGTGTCCACATATCCTAGCATCTCTCAGCTTAGAGCTGCTGTCAGCCTGTATCTAGGATCTTGGTCCTTGGCACTCAGCAGTTCAATGCTGCACTTTGTCTCTGTTTATCTTCAGGGGAATGGCATTTGTGACATTCAGTGCTGTTAGATGAGTTTAAGTTCCTGAGCTGATGCCCCACTGAGGTCAGTAGGACTTAACATCCATGGAATATGCTTAGGAGCATGTACTTGCACAACTGTTTGAGCTGGGTCTCTTTCTCCAATGCAGTGGCTCTTAACCACATGAGAGCCTCCAGTTCCTGCAGGACAAAACCAAAAAATCAGGAATGGAGACGGTGCTGATGAACAAATAAAAGGACAAAAAAGATATATGTGTCTGTGAATACACTGCTCATTTTCTGCTCGCTTTTTGATGTGACTTCAGATGACCCTCTTTTTCCCTAAACCAGGGCACTCATTTCAAGCTTTCTGATCGGGGAGGGCTTGTTTGGCCGTGTTATTTTTCACTGCAGAAAACCAGCCTTGGCTGCATGCTAAGTAATGACTTAAAAAAATCAGTTTTCTTAGCAGACGTTCCAAGTGGATAACAATCCTAGGCATTCCAAGGGGAATGCCTGTTGGAGTGCTGTTTGGACCCTGATGTCTGTGGAAGATGACAGGGTATGACTTCATATGTAAACAAAGATGTTTCAATCTACCAAGGGATAGTGCTTCCTTTATGGATGTGCTGGTCATCTGCACCGATACCCCAGTTAATGCCTTGAGTGCAGAACAGAGCATCCACTGAGCTGACGTCCAGAACACTGAGAAGGACACAGACCCAGACTGGACTTCATTTAGAGCTGCTTAGCAGCAGTGCTGCTTTAGGGAAGCATCTTCTCCCTTGCCTCAGTTTCAGCACAGATCTGAGCCCAAAGGTTGCTTCACCAGTACTCTGTTAAAAAAAAAAAAAAAAAAAAAAAGTGTTTTTTGTCATCCTGTGGACAAAGAGGCTTTTCATAGGTTGGTTTTGTGAAGCAGAAAAAAATAGATTTCTAAATAAAAGGAAAGTGAGTCTGACTGATTTCACTGACACCATCTGGAATACAGAACATCTGCGTTGGAGGATCAGTTACGGTGAAGTCAGGACACTCGCATCATTTCTGATCAGTGCCCCAGACCACAGTCCTGTATCCCACCCACAGCCACCTTCCGGGGCCTTCCAGAAGATGTGCTTTCATTGCAATCACTAAACAAAGCAACTTCTATGATTCTGTACGCATCGGGGTTATTTGGTCCAGTCTCTCTTCTACTTTATTTGTATTAACAAGCCCGTTTCCTACAGGAAACTCCATGCCTGCAGCACAAGGCAAAATAGAATTGAGAAATAATTTCTCTAAGAGCTTTTTTTAAAGAAAAATCATTGGCTTGTCTGACAGTGCATATAATTTATTTTTTTTTTTTTCAGACTCTGGAAACAATGGACACAGGAAAACCTTTTCTTCAGGCCTATTTCATTGACCTGGAAGGCTGTATAAAAACACTCCGATATTATGCTGGATGGGCTGATAAAATTCAAGGCAGGACTATCCCAGTGGGTAAGTTCCTTCAAACCCAGTTTCAGAGCTGGGATGAGATCAGGCTTGAGGGGGTGGGAAAGAGACACATGGAAAGGCTCTGGAAACCTGCAAAAATAGTCTGCATTTCCTTTCCGTCTCAGGATGTGTTTTAAGTAAATATGTTTCAAGTTTTAAACTTAGAGAACAATGTGAATGCCAGGGTAGATCTCTGGAAAATGATGTGTGGGCTATTTTGTTGCATTTTTAACAGAGAAACCTTTTTGGTTTTAAATTCAGACTAATTCTTAAATAAAAAAAACCAACCCTATACGTTATAGGGGAGTTTTCTCATTAGGTATCCCTGAAATGAATTTAGATGCCAGAGAGTGTAGGGACAGAGGTTTCTAGGGACGATTGTTTGAAAGCAGCAAAGCTTCTGCTGTCCTAGATGCCACAGGGATGTGACAGAGAGTTGATGTGGAACCCAGCAGTGTCTCCCACCTCACTGACATTCCCACATCCCTAACAGTGTTGGCTCACAGATGTTTAGAGAGATCATGTAGTGCTTTTTCTTAACTTTTTATGAAAGAGAAGGTCTGCAATGTTGACCCTTTTCAGGAGCCAAAACACTGAGCTCTTGGAGTTTTCTGACACTTGAAAGAGATTTTTCAAAAGTTTTCCTAGGCTGCAGAGCCAGAACAGTTGTGGCAGGGACAGAGAGAACACCTTGGCCCAGCTGTATAAGCTATGTAAGTTCAAGTATGGTTTGGGGGAGAACAAATTAAGACAATGGATGTCCCTGTGGCATGATGAGCTATACAATCTATTTTCAAAATCAGCCTATTTTGTCCCTGCCTATGGGTGATCCCTGAGACTGTAGGAAGGACAGGCACTGCAGACAAAACTTCCTCACCAGAGGAAGGGCTCTGAAGGGCTGAACCAGCTCAGTCTGTGCAGGCAGCAAAGAGAGCGATGTCAATCATGTTAACTGAGATCAGTCATCCTCATTCAGGTTAACATGAAACTTTACCTGCCTGGACACTGCTCATTTGTCCTTATGTGAGATCGTTTCCAAAAGCTGTGATTAGAAATGGTCATAATTTCTGTCACATCTTCCCAATGAAACTAGGTTTTCAGCAAGAATGAATTTGTAAGGAAAATGTGCTTCCGGCTTTCTCTTTGAAAGACTAATTGCAATATTTTAAGATTAATGTTATTACTATACTCCCAGAGTTTCATCTTTTTGGGATTTCTTACCAGAAACGCAATACCTGCTACACTGGATGTGATTCCTGTACAAAACATGTTTGAAAACTCTCAGGGGGACAAGTACTTTGCTTCTTTCAGTGAGATGCAGTCTGAATGCAATTTGTACTTGCTCTTCTATGGGGCAGGGAGTTATCCTCCTCTTAGCCTCAACACAGGGAGCTTGCAGAAGGAATTGAACCCCTGGGTTTAAAGGGCTCTGCTGTGACTGTGAGTTTGGCTTTTGAGCTAAGACCGCAAGACCTGTTCTCAAATAGATCTTCATCTGCCTGGAGTGTCCCGGAGGCATGAGTTAAGATGAAAAGATAGAGGGTTCTTTGTCTAATATGGTTTCAGTTCTGTCCCCAGCCCGTTAGTGTGCAGTCACCTTACACTCTTCCCATAGAAGCAAGGACTTTAACTCTGTTGTCTTTTATTCTTTTGTCTTGCAGATGAAAATTTTGTCTGTTTCACCAGGCACGAACCGATGGGCGTCTGCGGAGCTATAACTCCAGTAAGTAGCAGCGGCGGTGCCCCACATCTCCCTTAGAACTGGAAAAAGTGCACGTGCACTCCCCATCTTGTGCTGCAGCCGTTTGCTTCCTTGTTAAGTACAGCTGTTCTGCAGGGAACTCCCCTCGCGGTTGCCTGATGTAGTTTTTTGGTTGACCCCCATGCCAATTGCTCTTGGCAGCATGAAGTCCTCTGTGATGGAAGGGTGGGTCTCCTAATCAGATGCTCTATTCCTCCCAGAGGCTGACACCAGTCACCAGAGACGAGTCGGAGCTCTGACTCTTGCGCTGCTGGGACAACCGTCTTGTCATGACGCGTGCTAGCTTCTTGCTGCCTAGTGCTGATGCATAATTTGGCGTTTTAAATCACATCCATTCTTAATAAGGCTGTTCTCTGAGCTTTCTGTGATTCAGTCTCACTGAACAGAGTTTTCTTTTCCTTGAGGTCTCGTTCTCTGCTGGGGAGGGGGCCAGTGTGGCTAGTTCTTGAAATGCCTCCAATTTTAGTGTGTGTTGCTTGCTCTGTTGAAACAGACAACCAGGAAGACTTAACAGCCCCATTGGAGACCTAGTCTGTTCCTGTCTGTTTGTAAAATGCTTTGAACGGAGTGTCCTACAGGCCACGAGGCAAATGGTGGTGCCCCCGGGATTCTCTGTTAGGATACTTGGATCAGTAAGAGTTCATGGCAGGTTTTGACCTTTGAGATAAGGTTATAAGAGAGACTGAAAGAAATGCATGCGGGGTATCGGATTTGCTGAACTCTGGAAATACCACGTCCGGTCCAGTTCCCAGAGACATCCGGAGAAATGGTGCGTTTTCCGTCAGCAGGACTCAGCTTATATCTCTGGCGATAAGGTAGTTCGGTCTATTTAGGGAAGTCAGGACGAGGCAAAGTGGAGATGGTCAGTACTAGTTATCAGATGTCTGGCCTCATGACTTCAGCACAGCTTGTCAGTCTGAACAAGCCATGTGACAGCTTGTGAGCAACTAGAATTTGTGACTTAAGATCAAAACATCAGATTTCTCTCGTTCATCTGCAATTAGAAGGTATCTCCTGGTCACACTTCAGCCACCTTTGGCACGCAGCAATGCTTTTGGAAACTGTACCTTCAAAAGCCTACATGTAGGAAGCTTTGGAGGGATTCCTGCTACAAGGGAACATTGTGGGACTTCGGGTATTTTAGATTGACCCTACCCCAGCAATAAATACAGGAGAAAGTATAGAACCAGATTTGACTCAGGTTCAATATAGGTTTTACACAAAAGGATGACAGAGGTCAACAAAACCATATCTGTCTTCAGTTCACTTAAGACCAAATCCTCTTAAATATTTTTTTCCAGTTTGATCTTTTAACACCAGCAGTCTATGGGTTTCTATATTTCTATTCTGTTTAAAAGAATTCTGTCTCTATTCTGCATAGATCTTCCTAAACCAATTAACAATCCTCCCTTTTTCCTGTGGCTTAACTGTATTCAAACCAATGTCCTTGTCAAGGGAAGTTCTTAGAAAGTACAGCGTATGACTGAGCTTTATCCCAAGGTGGTGTTGTGAGACAGCCCTGAAGTCCTTTACTGTTACTTTCATCAGCTGTTCTGCAATGGAAAGGTCCTGATGGAGTTATGTCATGCTCTGAAAGTGTCAAAAAGTAGTGTAGGTGTGGATGGCTTGAACTGCAAAATCAGGCCTTCAAGAAGGCTTAGGAGAAAGAGATAAATGGGCAAATCATGGGATGTGGCCCGTGGAGAAGATCACTGAAACAAAACAGGTCTGGGAAAGAGCAAGAGGCAGGTTGAAGAATAGACCATTAGACTAAATTCTTCTTTGTCTCAGGGCTGTTGGGTTAGGACAGAACTCATCTCTTAAAAGCTACACTGCTAATTTAATTGTAAGTGTGAATTTGTGGATTCCTAACATATTTGGCTTCTTTGCTGATAGCTGAAGGCCCTTGGCTTGAGCCTTGACAAGAAGTCCCCATACTGCTGGCTTTCTTCCATCATCCCGAAAGCAGCATTAATTATTTTTAATGAAGAAATCCTTTCTGCTGCCAAACGACTTTTCTGAGATTCAGCGTGAGCTAGATTTTCCACTTTTTGCTTAGGTTCCAAGATCTACAAATACACATGACCATGAAAGAGATTAGCACAGAGGAAACTGATGTGGACTGGTTCCTAATTCCAAATAAGAAAACTAATTGGGAAAGGAGCAATTTACAATTTGAAGGCAGTATAAAGACCTCCCCTGGATTTCTGTGGCTGAACAACCCACTGCAGTTTCCTCGTTATAAACCTGGAATTAAATGGTATTGCATAACTCCTAACTACTCAGCCAACACCTAGCACAGAAAAATTAGGGTTTTTTTTTCAATGAGCAGTTTCATCCTGTAATTCCTCCACATAAGAACACTGTACAAAAAGTGACGCATCTGGACACTGCCTCCAACACAGTTTCTGTGAACAGCCAAAATCCTATGCAAAGTGTGACCAAATGCCTGTAAAGACTGAGGTCACAGCACACAGAGGTTTGTCCAACATGTAGGATTAGCTCGAAGACTGCCAGTGATATTTGGGGTCTCGAGGGGGAAATCAAGGCAGTTATACACCGCAGTCCAAGCAAACACAGCGTTGTAAGCAGCTGCTTCTCTTCTGGCCTCCCAGTTGCTTCTTCCTCCCTGAGCTGTGTGAAGGTGGGGAAGTGAGTAGGTGACCGTGCTGGCCTGATCTGACCAGCCTCGTGTTCTTGCAGTGGAACTTCCCGTTGCTGATGCTGGTTTGGAAGATGGCACCAGCGCTGTGCTGTGGAAACACTTTGGTTATCAAGCCAGCTGAACAAACTCCTCTCACATCGCTCTACATTGGCTCGCTGATCAAGGAGGTAAGGAAACCTGAACATCCCATCTAGGCACCGTTCTTTTAAGGTGGTAAGCAAGAGTGTATTTTGAATTGGCTGCATAGGTTTTCAGGTTTTAAAGACATTAAAGCCTCACAGAGGAAAATGAGAACAACCTTTGTCTTCAGTCTTTTCTATACAAAGGCTTTCATGACTGGCAGTGGCTCTTTGGGAGGTAGCAAAGACCACAAAACCTGTAGGTTTTTCTCCTTCCTCAGGAAGCTGCAGAGAGAAGAAATGGTGCTTTTATTTCTCTGCCTTGTCTTCCCCTCTCCCAAATGAGGGAAAGACTACAGCTCAGTTTTATTAAACAATGGGGGGGGGGAAAAAGTGTGATTAAACATCAGTGTTGTGCTCGTACCATTTTTAAGTAGGGTAATTCAACCAAGACAGAGTGCCATGGGAAACAATTCTTGGGAATTTCTGCGGTTTGTAGAACAATTTAGCTATGTCTGGCCTGTAAAGCCAACTCGGTATTGACATAGAGGGAAGATCGTAGGTTGAGATTTCAAAATGTTGATTTAGGGCTTGTCAGGTGCCCTCCCATCTATTAACCATACAAGGGTGGTGGGAGGTGCACAGGACTGGTCAGTACATCGGCTTCCCATATCTACGTATGGGGCTAATTGTGAGGAAAGCTAAAAGGGTCGTAGATACGCTTTTGCCTCTCAGCTGGCAAAGTCTGTTTGTTGGGCTCAGTCTAGTGATAATGATGATTTTGTCTGTTCTTGGCTCAGCCTGTGAGAAAATAGAAGGATGCGTCAATAACTGCCACTTAGGGCTGTTCTGTCAGGAAAGGCAGTGCAAAAATATTGCCAGTTAAGTATCTGCTGCAGTTAATTGCCTTTATAAGTTTACACAAGATGAGAGAGCACAGGGTGCAGTTTTCATGACTTCTAGTTAGCCCAGCCATGACACTGCTTATTTTTCCCTCTGACATACAGCTCCCCAAACACAGGGATAGCTTTTCCCCCCTAAAAACAATTTTGAGCTGAAATTCTAAGCTGCCTCACAGTTTCTCACAGTTGTCCTTCAAGGCAGAAGCATAATTAGAGCAGAATAATTTTATTTGAAAATGCTCCCTTCTCCACGCAAAATTAACTAAATTATTTGCTGTTTTTCAGAAGAGTAAGTTAAACTTTTTTATTTTTTTAAATCTTTAAAAGGATGCAGAAGATGTTAATACGCAAGCAAAACTACATGTTAGGTTCAATAAAATAATTTGGGGGCAACCAAAGTATTTTGGTTTTTATTTTTGCTGAAAAACAGGGGGAAAAAATCGGTTCAAAGTGATCTGAACCAATCTTTTGCTTCCTTGTGGCTTTACTGCCTAGTCCAAACACCATCACTTGCACAGTTTGATGTGCAGTATTTTCTTAAAAACTCATTAGCCAAGATGCAAGCCTCTGTGAAACTCCTTTTATCATTGTCACATCCATAGAAGGAGTCAGACTGCCCTTGCAATTTATGAAAAAATCTGAAAAAAAAATCTTATGAAGATCATTTTTTTGCAAGATACTACATAGAATCATAGAATTGTCTGAGTTGGAAGGGACCTGAAAGATCTTGTAGTTCCTACCCCCCTGCTATGAGCAATTACTTCCCTTTTTTCTGTATTAGAAAGCAGCAACTGCATTTATTGAGATTTTATGTTAAAAAGCCACAAGAAATGAACATTTAATATCCTGCAATTCCATTGTTAGCAGCTGCAGGAAAAACAACCTTGTGCAATCAGTAGTAGGGCAGGGCTAACCTAGAAGACCATAATCCTTAAAACTCTTGTTTCGGGAAGTAAAAAGAGACCAGTAAGTCCCACACTTCTCCACACGCTAGAATTTCACCTGAAGTTTTGCCATTTGTCTCTTTTGGCAGAATTACTAGTTGGCTAATCTAGGTTGTAAATGTGGTGGAAACTGGCACAAGGCTGTTACCATCTGCTGTTGTATTCCTGTTTTATTAGCCCCATCATCTAGTGAAGTTTTACTGACTTCTTAATCCCCCTGGCCCCTGAAGAACCACAAATGTCAACCTTTGTTCAAAACAAACTTTCTTTCAGTTACCCCTTGGCTCCAGCTGCACGGCAGTAGCTGGGGGCCAAGTCTGGCCAAAAGACTCACTCTCTTTTGACTTGAAACTGAGATTCCTCCAAGAAGTCTTACTGAAACTTAATGTTTCCTAAGCATGGCTATTACTTTCACCCACGTCCACTCCAGCTGGTAGCACACAGCCATGTTACTGGAAAGTCTGGAAAACAGTGATGCAGTACGGGTTCCTTATCTGCAGCTTGCAACTCTTAATTGGACAAGGACTATAGTGCAACTAACTCAAGCTTCCTGAAATCTAAACTGCGCTCTCAGGAGTGCAAATCAGCTCCTGACTGCTCAAAATCTCTCTCTCTACAAAGCTGTGTTTAACCTCTGTCTTAGGTGGGTTTCCCTCCAGGTGTGGTGAACATTGTGCCAGGCTACGGCCCCACAGCTGGAGCTGCTATTTCTACCCATCACAGCATTGACAAAATTGCTTTTACTGGATCAACAAAGGTAGGTGATGGGTTTCTCATAAAAAACCCCACTGCTGTTTCTCTTTGGATTCTCCTCTAAAACTGTCATCCACGTGAGGCTGGACTTCTCTACAGCCAACACTGTTTTCCATCACATTCTGTGTGACAGGATTTCTCTAAAATGTTTGGGATATGTCTAATTCAGGTCCTCATGCTTGTGATAATCCCACATCTCTGTCAGCTGAGTTTTACCAAACTGCCACGTTTGTGTAAGAACTGTAAGTAATAGATGCTCTGACTTAAGGTAAGAGTCTACAGGAGAAGCTGGCAGTGACTTAACATCGTGTCATTGACCCAATGGGGCTTCTGGGCACGTTTGCCTGCCAGTCCTGCTCTGCAAGCATGTGCAACTGGAAAACATGTCAGTCAGAGCCGTGAACAATTCTTCCTTGGCTTTAGTTACCTCTGAGGAGCTAGGACTTAAATACAAACATGGCCTAGTGCCCAAGGCTTCCTCTGCTGACGCGGATGAGATTAACGTTTGAGCTTCTTTTGAGACCTGCACAGTAAAACACCTTCTATCCGTTTCTTTTTTCCCCCTGTTAGTAGCTGCCTTGCTTATGAGAGGGGTGGAAGCGAGACCTCTCAGACATCTACAGCTGTCCTCTTCAGGGAAAGGAGCCCATGGCTTGGCCGAGTCCACAGAACGGAGCACAGCTGCGGCAGGCAAACACGTTTGTTGCCAGTAATCACTGCTGCAAGTCCTCAAACAAAAGCTTGCTTAGAAATGTGAATGTTTGTTCACTCGCTGCTCCGGATTTTTCTTGCAATATACACGAACCCCCGAAGAAAGGCAGCATCCAAAGAGTGGAAATGCCGACACCGATGGGTGCAGCTGAGGCAAATAGAGTCTGTCCACAGTTATTGCTTTGAGTAACATTATTCTTGCTGAGCATTTGCCTAATTCATCCCTTCTTATACCTGTCCTCATAATCGTGGACTGTAATCTAATTGCATAATGATGACAAATTACCTGGAATGGTATTCCTTGTCGGTAAAGGTAACTCGCGGAACACTCAAAAGCTGCTGAATTTAACAACAGTACCATCTAGTGGCTTTCTGTAGGTGCTAACTGCTTTGCTTATCCCAGAGGAGAAGGTGTGTTAAGCCTCCATTTCTGTACAGGGATCACGGGAACAAACACAAATGCAATAAAGTAAAAGTTCACAATGAGCTTTTACTCTCTTGATAGCTCGGCTAATCTAGTAGTTTACCCACTTACATGCTTCTCTCCAAATCCTAGATCAGAAATTTTTAAGCCCAGATTAGGTGCTGGCTGTGGGAAAACAATAAAGCTTGTAGACTTGTCCAGCCCACATGGATCTGTTTGGGTTTTTAATGAAAAAGGAGTGTCCAGTGGATTAAGGGCTGAAGGAAGATCTCAGCTGCTGGAGCTTGTAGGCAGAAACCTGCTATAGACACTCTGCTTGTCCTCCTAATCCATGGGTGTGCAGGAAACACTGAGGGAGACAGATTCTTTGCTAATGCATGTGTAATTTAGAAGTGTTTTCTTCCCCCTCCACCCATCTGTGAGTTCAGCTGCATCTCTGCAGTATTTGCTGCATAATGCTACTGTTTCTGAGCCAGGAAATGAAGCTAATTCAAAATACATTTTGACTTAGTTTTTAAGCCCTGGCTTGGGCTCAGCGCCAGCCTGGAAATGCAGATCTTAAACTACATGAGAATTTTCCCATCTATTTTTTTTCTTTTCCCTTAGTTTATTAACTTACTCCTCGTTGGCCAGCTAGCTTATAGCAATGCCTTTATGAAGCTTCGTGTATCCAGCATGATGCCTCACTTATTTCTGCTGCCTCTAGGACTAGGCAGCTGAATGACTAGAGACGGAGTCGCTCAGTACTAGTCAGTACAGTCAACTAGTACTGCTAGGCTCAGGAGTCTTGCTGGAGTTACAAAGGCAAACCGTGAGGAATGCAGACCTGTAACTGCCAGCCAACAACCCAGTGTCTTCCTTGCTCACAGCTCCACTCCAGGGCAACAGTATTTCTAGGCAGAAATGGAAGTTAAGGTTGTCATGCGCAAAGGTAGAGTACCACAAAATGAGGAAATTCAAATAAAAGGTCACACCTTAAAAAGTAACCTGGCTTAACAATTGAAGCTCCCAAATAGTTTTAACTCATACTGAATGATTCTGATGCTTTAATTATGCTCTTTTCTCTTTCTTTTTTTTTTTTTAAAAGCTGTCTTGATGTTACCAGTATAAAAAAGAAATAGTACATTCAGTCAGAATTTGGGAAAACATTTGATGTGAAACCATTTTTCTGAGAGGGAAACCAAAACTCAGTTTGACATTACTTAGATTAAATTCTGGAAGCAGAATAAATCCTTCCCTTCAGGAGAGGGTGGCCAGATAAATTCCACCAGATGGTCACATTCGATTCCCGCGTAGAAAGTGCCACGGCAGAGCTAGCTGTAGTTCATCTCTTGACATCCTTGAGTATTGCCTTGGAAGCAACATGTGCCAGCTACTCCTGGATGTGAAGCAGCTCAGCCTAAACTGTCAGAAAGTAGTCATTTTCTCCTAAATGTCAAAAATGTCTACGTGGCTTTCTGGTATGGGAGTGGCAACAGATAGGAACAGTGAGTTCTTATCATTGCCTTGCAAGATCTACTCTAAGAGGTCGAATTTTCCAATGTTTAAGAGCAAAACTCAAACCTTGGAGCCCCATTGATTGCCAGTGTTGCTCACGAGCTTGCAGCGGGTGGGAAATGCCTTGTTCTGCCGTTCTGCGCAGCAGATGACTTCAGGATACAGTTCCCGTAGCTCTCCCACGTAGCCTGCCCTTTCAGATCTGCCCAAACCAAACAGTAACGCTGGGGCTGGTTTTGACCCAACCCATCGCAGCAGCAAGAGCTCCTGTCCTCTTTGTGTCTCAATGCTACAGGTCGGAAAACTGATCAAGGAAGCTGCTTCTAAAAGCAACCTCAAAAGAGTGACATTAGAGCTCGGAGGGAAAAACCCCTGCATTGTGTGCGCAGATGCGGACTGTAAGTACCGGCTGCTGTGTTTATTTGCTGTAAAAGCCTATGAGTGTGGTGCTTTCTGTGTGTCTCTGCCATCCCCGGGCAGCTAGCAGGGCTGGTGTTTGCCACTGTATCCACCCCAAAGGCTGGAGAAAGCCTCTGTCCAAGAGCTGGATGCAGTTCTGCTTCACTGGAGCTCTTCCCCAGCACAGGGACCATTCCCATGGCAAATGAGCAGACTGTTGTACAGTTGCTTTCCCTGGGGATGGCTGCAGTTACAGATAAATCTTGCATTTGTGCTTTTCTGCTGCTGTGGTGCTTTCTTTTTGGTTGGCAGTACTGCAGAGCTGGAGCCAAGCAGTGGGGAAATGAGTTTTCTAAAACGCAGCCCCTTTTTTTCCTGACAGGAGAGCTTCGTAGGACCTGATCTAATCCACCTTTCTCCTGGGGGTCTGCAGGACTCCTTTCACGTGTTCTGGTGCAACTTTGTTGTCTTAGTGAGTAGCACTAGGGGATATGTGTAACCGATGACCCCCAAAGTGGTTGGAAAATCCTGTTTGACTTGGGGAAAACTCTCTCCACTCCCCTGCACAGTACAGCAGAGGTTCAAAGCCAGAGGTGTTTGTGCCATCTGAGCACTGGGAGGACCCGGGCTGAGCTGGCTGTAAAACAGAAGGACACGTTGCTTTCTAAACTACTGAAACGACTCTTCAGGAACCATCGCACAGTATCTAGGAATCCACATCCCAATTCCCGCAGCAAGGAAAACTGGTGCCTGCCCTCAGGGAATCCCCGTGGAAGAAAGTATCAGGAGCTATGGCCCACTAGACCTTGAGACAAAAAACAGGGAGGGGGTTGGATATAATAACAGATCTGGTTTGGGGGCAGCATGAGGCCTTGTGAGTGCCTTCAATGGGTGTGGACCATTGTCAGCATTTTTTAAGAAGGCTTTCAAAAGAGAAAGACAAAAACAAGTCTGGAAACACTGGAAGGCTGAAACTGTGCATGTGGTAACACTTTTCCCTCCTGGGCCTCGTTGCAGTGGACTTGGCGGTGGAATGTGCCCATCAAGGCGTGTTCTTCAATCAAGGGCAGTGCTGCACGGCTGCCTCGCGAGTGTTTGTGGAGGAGCAGATATATCCGGAGTTCGTCAAGCGCAGCGTGGAGTACGCCAAGAAGCGACTGGTTGGAGACCCCTTTGATGCCAGAACTGAGCAAGGGCCCCAGGTAACTGTGTGCCTGAGAACAGTTGTTGTTTGGTTTTTGGTTGTGTTTTCGTTTAATTTTCCTTGTGTAAATATTATCCTTATGAATATGGTCCCAGCAGAAATGCTGAAGGGTGAGTAATGTATCATGGCTTTATTTTTGTCTCTATTTTAAATATCAATTAATCACAACTGTTGAAATGTTATGTTGTAATTTTTTTAAACACAAATGTATTTAATTCACTTCTTATCCAGCTTTATGAAAGGGGCTGTCTCCTTGGTGCAGTAATACAAAGCATGTTGCAGCGAGCAATAGCAGCGCGCAGAAGAGTGCAGCTGTGGAAATGGCCGTTCAGCTGCTTGGCTGTGTTGGCGATGACAAGTAGTTAGAGCCCAGGGACTCCAGAGTCCCCACTTTCCCTCTCTTCCTCTGCTCCCTTTCTGATCCTTTGGAGAAGTTTCAGCTGAATTAGGAGGAAAAACCATGCCAAGCTGCTGTCATGACCAGCCTCGTCAATGCTTCCAGAGCCTTCCTCTTGCTTTTGTCTTCCGAAGCAATCTGAGCTGTGGTGGAAAACTACGGAGGATGATGATCCTCGGGTCAGATCTTCTGGGGTAGCAGATCTTCTTTGGTAGCAAACAGGGCCACTGTTTGCTACCAGAAATAAAGGGGGAATCCCAGAACTCTATGGACTAGGCCTCCTGTTCTCAGTACTGCACCGTGAGGTTTTCTTCCTTGATGCCATAGAAGATCCCCCAGAGAAGGGATGGTGGTGACGACATCTGCCTCCCCTCATCTGGATCTAGGCCCATGTACACGTGATTCATGCAGGGCAAAACCTCACTGCATGTCCTCATGCATTGGCAATAAGGTGATGCACATCCCCATTCATGCTGGGGTGAAATCTATCCCTGTGACATGCCTAGAAAGAGATTTCAAACCACTCAGCAGTCTTAGGAAAATAATCCCACGCTGGAACTTGCTTCAGCAGAGATGAGCTGACTCTCAAACCATTTCAAGGTCTGCTCTTACCTTCTGTTAAGGGCTGTTGGCTTTTCAGTTTGTTGTTTGGGTTTTCGTTTTGTTGGTTTGGTTTTTTTAATACAACATCATCCTAAACCTTATCCAGCAGTAGAAGTAAGTGAGCTGCATTTGTAGTTAGTCCCATCAGAACCATATCTGACAAAGACCACCGGTTTCATGAGAACAGCCCCTGAAATCACAGGGAGTAGTTGTGAGATTTTAAAGGATGAAACACACTACAGAGAACAGAATATGTACAACTGGGCTGCTTATTTCAGTTCATCCGTGCCCCGGCCTCTTGCCAGGCTGCCAGCGCTATGTCAGAGCACCTTCCTCTGGTATCACTGCTGTGGCTCAAGGGAGGCTCTTGGCATACAGAGCTTTAATTAAGGATAACAGTAAATTGAGATGGCAGCATCTGGTCAGATTTTAAATATGGCCCATCTGTCCTTTTTCCCCATTCTCTCTTACCTGCTACACTTGTAGCTAGGAGAGATAGTGCACCCTCACACACACCTCAACTTCTGTGCATGCAACTGTCAGGCCCAAGATGGGAAAGTGTTGCGAGAGTGGGAGGAAACTGTTAATCCTGAAGCTTCTGTGTGGCTGCCAGTGCCATGGAACAACCCCTTCCTCTGCAGCTACAGTTGCTCACCCTCCAGAGCCTATCCTGCAAGATGCAACACACGGAAATTCAAGCAGAAGAGAGAAAAGATGCAGCGTCACAAGGGCTTAAAATACCTCCAAAAGCAGCAAAAATTCACACCTGCCCACAAGTTACTGTTCAAATGTGAAGCTTCCAGATAATTTTTTTTTCCCCTCTGTTCCTGAAGGAACCTGCTCTGCTGAGAGTCGGATGGGTTTTTTTATCTTGAACTGATGGATAAGGGAATTATCACCAGGAAAAATGATCTGTCTTCATCTTCTCCTTCATGTCTCCCTGTCAGGCCTCAGTGACTTCAGACCCAGGTTTTCCTTCTCCTTCTGTGTGGGTCAAGGGTGAACATACACAAAAACGGCCACATGCTGCTGTGCTGGCTTCTTTCTGGGGTGATCACTGGCTTAGAAGCCAGCAGTGGGACAGAGTTGGAGCCAGCCTTTAGACTGACAGTGATTGTACCCCCTGAGCTTTTTGGTACATCAGCTCCGAGGGCTTGTAGCTGGACAACAGGGCCTGTGACTTACAGTTCTGAAAGTGTAAAATAGGAGAGTTTCTGTGGTCCAGACTTGGAGCTAGTGCTCTGTGAAACCAAACCGCACCATGGTTGAGCAAGATGCTCTAAGTAGCTGCTGAGAAACCTGGTGCTGGACACGCTGGGGGGACAGACAATACTGTTCCACAAGAACGTAGAGTCGATGTACACTAGTCCTGGAGAGGTGGTCCTGTGTGCAGCTGTTTGTTCCTGTATTCCCCTGCAGTTATGAACCCAACTGGGGAACTGGCTGATTCAGGTCTGATCCAGCCTTTTTGGAAGCGAGGAAGAAAGTTTTCCCTCGGGTCGGTCCCCTGATGTGGATTACTGCGCGTTGGCATGGATGCTGTGGCATGGGCGTGGGGAAGAGAGTGTGTCAGCTGCGGTATTGGGTTATGCTGGTATAAACTGCACTGCTCTGATCAAAATTAGGTCAGGTTTAAGCAGAAATGAGGCATGCTTCTGAGGGGACTTCTCCAAAACTCACATGTGTCTGACTGTGTTGGCTGGCTGGGTTTCAGAGGAGACCACAAGAAACCTGAGGGGTGCTCAGGACTGTTTGAGTGCCAACCTCAAGCGCAGACCCAAGGGCATTTTAAAACTTTGGATTCCTGTGAGCTGCATCACAGGAAGTAATAAAGTAAATCTGCACAGATGGCAAACTGATTAATCAGTGCGTTATACAACTGTGAACAGCAAACTGCTCTAGGTGAGACTGATGTCCTGGTGGATTATTGTGAAACCCCAAATCTTGGGATTTGGGGACCAAAAGACCTGGTCTACAGGAATAAATTAACTGTTAAGGCTGCCTCACAGCATTTGCTAACTAGTAGTTAGTTATTCAGCCCAAAGCATATTGTCTCATTTTTACGATGGTGAATATTTTCCTTAGACTGTAGACATTTGTGTACTTTAGGATTAAAGCATGAAAGTAAAATATGTAAGTAGAAAGAGCCTGTGTCCAACAGTCTGTTGGACACAGTTCTGAGATTATTCTTTAGGATTACGAATGCTAGGTTTGGAAAAGGATAAACTGCTCCTTGTGCTCTTGGCTTAAATGAAGCAAGAGACAAAGATTCAGGGGTGCTCAAATTTTCAGCATTGCAGCGATCCTTAGAAGCCTCCTTCTCTTCTGAATTAACTGGACAAATAGTAGAATTTGCTCTATCAGATCATTTGTTTTTAATAGAAGTCAATGCTGGAACCATAAATAATAGTGGAGTAGGGGACAGAATTTAAACAAACCTTGTAAGCTCTAGTTACAATGACAAACAGTTCCACCCTTGCATGTCATTTTTACAAATGTTTTCTTTCCCCAGTGTCTTTTCATCTAACTATAGTTTGCCTTGCAACAAGTTACAGCTGTATAAATATCCTTGTTTTGTTTTGTGTGATGTGAAGTGGATGAACTGGATTGGTCTGAATCACAGACATGCCAGGATGGAAAGCACTTGCAGATATTTTCAAATTATTTACATTTGGCAGCTAAGCAACCAGGCAAATAGACAATACATATGACACCTGCCAAACTTACTGTGCGACACTCTGCATCCTACACGAGGGCACACATCTCCTCGTGCAGTCGTACGTATCAAGCGGTTTTTTGGGTAGCATCTTAAAACGAGAGAGAACGTGAGTATTTAGTACACGCTGTCCACCGTGCATGTGGTGCACACATCTGTGTGACAGGAGATGTGCTGTTCTCTGTTTTCACCGTGTACCAGAAGTACCCCAAGGACACCCTCCTGAAGCTTTGATATTTGTCTAAAAGCATGAAAACTTGGATTGCGTGTGGCCAGGATTAACAAGGGACAGGATATAGTCTGTAACCTGGAGGAGTCGAGTGTGGAACACTCTATGTAAACAGTCCCAGCTGGCAACTGGCCCTGCTGAAATAAAACCAGATGCCTCGGGATGGATATTCAAGCGGTACAAGCATCTGGTGATACCTGGCTTTCAGAATAACCTCCCAGGCTGCCAAGGCACCTTGAACCAGTGGGTGGGGTCTTACTTAATCGCTTCAGTGAATTTGTCGAGGCTTTTGTTGGTTTTGCTTTTTTTAAAACGTCTCCCTCAGTCTTTTACCGTCTGCGGTGTGCTGCGATGAGGTGTTTAATTGCTTAATTATGCACCCTGCGAACAGCCACATCTCTTCGTTTGAAACCCGATGGCACCTGCAGCCCACGGCTCCGTGTGGAGCTCAAAAGGAAGATCAGTACTGCTCAGAAGTGCTGTGGGCTTCTGCACATTCTTCCCACGAGGTGACCCACTCTCCTCGTGGAGTACGTGATGTCTCCTTCAAGCAGGACTGCACAGCTGCGTGACTTCAGTGTCCCCTAGTTAGGACTGGCTGCTCCCCGCCTCTACTGAACCCCCTAGTTTAAAGGCTGGCAACCGGGCAGTACTGACTGTTTGAGATCACTTATTATATTTAGGTGTGGGTGGGGAGGAATTAGACAAGGTTGGTAACTAAAAGTGAGAATATGGCTCCCAGTCCAGAGATCCAAAAAATGCTTGGATGATACTCATCTCTAAGATCCATGCAAGGTGATTCTGATTTTAAAAGTACCGCTTCAGTGCAGCAGTTGTTCAGGAGTCACCCCGCTAACAGGGCTTACCTTTGGGGCCATTCATACAGCGCCTGTGTGTGGAAAGAGGTGGAGGCAGAGCTTGTTGTGTTCCTCCAGCTGGGGACAGATAGCTCTGGGTGAAGCAGCAAAGTTAATTTAATAGTTTATATACTCTGCTTCTCCCTCCCTTGCACTGATTCCATTGCTGGTCAGATCCCTTGCGGAGCTGAGTGAGGTTGCTAGGCCAGCAAAAATCATCTCAGGCTGTTCTCACGGTGCTCCCCAGCTAAATCAGTGTGTGGAGAAAGTCGGTAAGTCCCAGAGCTGAAGCACGGTGAGCTGTGGGCGTGCATATCCTGGACGCAGGGGAAGCGAAAGGGGGGAGAGCAAACTATTAGATCAGGTGAACCTACCGCATCTAACTTCACCTGCTGTTTTCTGTGGCTCAGGGCTACGCCCACGTCCTGTCTTTCATTGCCCGACTGCTACAGCACAGAACGAGATGGAAACTTTTCTGGTGTGACAGTGCCCTGCAAATGTGCTCCTGGGCTGCACACCGGGATCCAGTCTCTGGAGGGGTGATCCTACAGGTGCTGCTGCCTCTTTCTTTTCCTTTTGTGTCTGACAGATTGACCAAAAGCAGTTTGATAAAATCCTGGAGCTGATAGAAAGTGGGAAGAAAGAAGGGGCGAAGCTGGAGTGTGGAGGTCTCGCCATTGAAGACAGAGGCCTGTTTATAAAACCCACTGTGTTTTCGGAGGTCACCGACAACATGCGCATCGCCAAAGAAGAGGTACAGTATAAGCAACCCGAACTTTTATATGCATTTGCTGCTGTAAATGGGAAAGAAAAGAGGTATGGCTGTGGTTTGCGGTGAAAATCAGAGAGGAAAATAGATGTTTCACTTATTCCACCTATTTCAGTGTCCTAATGCTGAAATCCATTCTACTAACGAAGTATCTGCAAAGTGACCTTCGATTTGGAGTGTGTGTAGAAGTGTGAGAGGAGCAGGAAGAGAGCAGAATGGGCCAAAAAGCTGTCAAAATGTTTTAGCAGCAATTTTTCTGCAATTAATAGGTGTCTGTTTGCCAGCCCTTTCTAACGCCTTGCTGCTTTCCCTCATTTTGTTGTGTTTTCCAAAAGGGGAAGCAGTCCTGTGAGAGTACTCTGGACAATAACAAAGCCAGATAAAAACATAGTAGCTAACACTCCCCTCTAAAGCTTTTGGGTCTCATTTCAGGATAATGTAATATAATGCAAAATACAAGCCATGCCTTACCTAGATCCAGCTGCTCTAAATGCTGTTTCTGAATAATAGTGGCGATGGAAGGATTTCTGCTTGATTCCTTCAGTTTAAATATAAATAAGTGAATACAAATAACTGAAACTGTGGCAGGCTGGAGCAATTTTTCATATTCTTTGCCCTGAAGTTTGAAGGTTTTCTGAAGACAGAGAGTTAAGCTCTCCCCCTCTACACAGACAGATGGTTGTGCTGCTGCGTGCTCTTACGCACCTCCTACTGAGTGGACTGGAAATTGCTCAGCTGTAGTACATGCTGATTTAGAGAGACAAAGGACAACATAATGTGTGTTCTTGCTCCAGTACTTTGTAAAAAAAAAGGAATTGTTTTATTGCAGAAAGTTAGGACAAGAACTCCACGACCTGAAGCTGGTGAGAGGGAGCAGTCCTGCTGTACTGCCACTGGAGAACTTTTCTCAAGTAGCCTCAGCGTCTGAAATAATCCCAGATTCCGTTCTAATGGTGAAATCCTCTGAGGCTGACTGGTTTTTTCCTATATGAAAACACGGTCAAAGCCGGCAAAGTGCAGATCTAATACTCTGGCTTTCATTATTCATATGCAGGAAAAATGACCAAGCTGCATGTGATTAGGTCCTGTGATATTCCTTTGCAAAAGAAGTTAATCTACTTTTCATCATGTTCCCCAACGGAAAAGAAGTAGTTGCCAAAGTCTGACTGGCACTTGTATTTTATCGTTTAGCCTAGTGCTTTTTATGAGGCTGCTTACTGCTCACTCCTGGCGAAATGTTTCGATGTCTCAGATCTGCCACAGAATCTCTGAGGAACCTGGGAAAGATATCAGTCAGTCTGGGCATGAGTTACATTCTAAAAATAGAGGGAATAAGAGCTGAAAATCCCATGACAGGCCTTTTTTTTAATGAACTGACTCCAAATCCCAAGTCACGATTCGTGAATCTTACCCAGTTTCATTCATTTGCAGTTTTGTTGCAAATGCACCTTCTTCCTTTGCCCAGGGTCAAGGCTCCAGTTAACTACGTGGATCTCCCAAAACAAAGATATTTAGAAACACTAAGATATTGGAAACACATGAGCCTGAAGGTCAGGCAAACTGCTTAACCTGGCCGTCAAGGTGACACAAGTGATGCTGTATCTCACCTTTGGAGGGGACTTTTTGTACTGCAAGGCCAGTCAGGCCAGAAAAGGGCCCCACTTTTTGATACTGGACTTGATGAGAGCCTCCATGCCAGGAGTTTGGAAGCGTTGTTTATGCTGGCTGCCTTTATGTTGGCAACCTGGGAGGCCAAGTTTGTGGTCAAACACGTACGTGGTAAACACACTGTGTGCAAATCAACTGCATGCCGTGACAAAAGCTGAGTTAAAACAAAAGAAGAAAACTTGCAACCCTTGAAATATATTAATTACTTCTTGAGTATACTCAGCTTCTGAGTTCAAAAGGAGTAGCCGTAAGGATGAATCATTTGAAACTTGTCCAGATCTTACTCTGCTTATTTTGATTGTTATGGATGATTCATTATTTGTTGCATATATTAACTACTATAGCACATTGCTGGACTTTCTTTGAAGACAGTGTAATGATTAGTTTTTAAAAGACTCCATCAGTGACTTCGAGGAGGCTAGGATATAACATTTAAATATAGTGTCCAAACAAAGCATCTGATTCTGATTACTTCAAAATTACCGTGATTAGCAATGATTAGCAGGATTGCCATGATTTTCTGTGCTAATGTCTAATTGATTAGAGAGGGAGTAGCTGGTAGGTTGAGAGAGGTCCTCCTGCCCCTCTGCTCTGCCCTGGTGAGGCCATATCTGGAATATTGTGTCCAGTTCTGGGCCCCTCAGCTCAAGAGTGACAGGGAACTGCTGGAGAGAGTCCAGCGCAGCCACAGGGATGATGAAGGGAGCGGAACATCTCCCTTATGAGGAAAGGCTGAAGGAACTGGATCTCTTCAGTTTGGAGAAGAGGAGGCTGAGGGGTGACCTCATAAACGTTTATAAATACGTCAAAGGAGGGTGTCAGGAGGACACAGCCAGGCTCTTTCAGCGACATCCAATGACAGGACAAGGGGCAATGGGTACAAGCTGGAATACAGGAGGTTCCACTAAGGAAAAACTTTTTCCCTGTGAGGGTGCCGGCGCCACGGCTACTTTGAGACTGACAGAGCACTGGAACAGGCTGCCCAGGGAGGGTGTGGAGGCTCCATCTCTGGAGACATTCAAACCCCACCTGGACACGTTCCTGTGCAATTTACTGTAGGTGATCCTGCTCTGGCAGGGGGGCTGGACTAGATGATCTTTTGAGGTCCCTTCCAACCCCGAACATTCTGTGATTCTGTTATATGTGCAGATTTTTGGGCCAGTTCAGCCAATTATGAAGTTCAAGAGTATAGAAGAGGTCATAAGAAGAGCCAACAGTACCGAGTACGGACTTACGGCTGCGGTGTTCACAAAGAATCTGGACAGAGCGTTAACACTAGCTTCTGCCTTGCAGTCAGGAACTGTCTGGTAAGCAGAGTGTGGGCTGGGATTTCACTTCCTGGAAGGACAAAGGGATGCATGATTTGGAATCAGAAGTGCTGGAGGCAAGATGTATTAGTAGTCTGCTTAATTTTTGATATTCTGCTCAGAAGCAACATCCATTCGTCAAAATAAGGTGGTGAGGACCAGACAGTCTGGCAAGAAGTGGACTGGATGTTCAGTTGATGTAGGTCTTCGGTTGGAAAACTCTGAAAATGTAAGGTTGTGTTAAGTTCCACCAGACACGATGCCTTCAAAATCCTGCAAGCAGAAAAGAAGCAATTCTAATAATCTTTAGGTAGCGTCAGATGGGATCTTAGCTGCACAAATCAATATGGACAGTAGATGGCACCACAACACTGTCGGAAAGATAAGTAGCTATTTTTGCTGACAAAAATTCTCATTTTATATTAAAATAATTTTAAAGATGGAATCCTGTTCGGTTTTTTCCCCACTCAGGATAAGAATTTGATCTCGTGTCTGATTCTGATGCATGCATAGGATTGATTTCAAGAGCTGGTGCCAGAAGAATCTGCCTCTGAGTCATATTTACATGAAAAGGGGATGCTGGGCTTTGAAAGATGTGTTGTACGTACAGCACCAAGCCACAGCTGTCTCTCTTCGGTCATTTGATCTTACTGAGATGCTGAGGAAGTACTTGTGTTAGCTTTTTTCTACCTAGCAGCTACAAAAATGGGGCTGGCACTTTTGTTTCGCTGTGACACAACTGTCTAACACAGTCAGACTTTTTTTCTATACCTGGAAGTGGGTGGTGGAGCCTGCTTGTAAGTGTTTAGATGGGCTTCCGAGTAAACATGCTCGTTTCCAAACGTGCTTTATTAAACTAGGGAATAGGTTGGACCATTTATTTTGAGCATGGCTCTGAACACAGCGTGAATTCTATTTTTTAATGTCTCAGCCATTAGAGACTGAGGTGAGAGGTAGGTCAGACTGAGTACCACTCAAATGTTTCTGTAGCAAAATAAGATTCTATTACTAAAATCTGATTTCTCAAGTGAATGGACTTTATAAATAGAAAATGGACAGATTTTGGCCTTTCTTGTACGGTTGTTGTCATCACCTTGTTTTTCCTTGATATTGAATTGTCTTTTTGCAATTGATGTTTTTACTGTAGGATCAACTGTTACAACGCTCTCTATGCACAGGCTCCTTTTGGTGGCTTTAAAATGTCAGGCAATGGCAGAGAACTGTAAGTTTTGCTCGATAATTTTGTTTATGTGTGGAAGGTGAATGCAGTAACAACTGTAACTCAGTGGAAAAAAACGTTGGATTTGCTATTAAGCTATCAGGGTTGCAGTATGCTGCCCAGGGAGTTGCTAAGCAGGTACAGCACGGATGTAAAGCACAGTGTGAGAACACGAGCTGTGCCTTAAGGACTACCTTCATCTGCTTTATAGGCTCCTAATAACTCCAGTTCAGGCAATTCCACTTGCAAGCATTTTTCCCGACTAGTTAGATTTTTAGATCAAGGGAGAAGTACGGTACCTTGGCTGGGGACGCTGATATCCATCCCAGACCTCCTCCACTTTTACATGTCCACCCTTTTATCTGGACCGCTCTTGACTGCTGTGTCGTTGCTCCTAGTTTGACCTTTTCCCACCTCTGACTTTGTAATGCTGGAGATAGAACAACAAAGAAGGACCTCCAAAAATTGTTCCACCTCCCACCTGCCAAGCTGGCTACTAAATTACGGACGGACCCTCTCTCTCTCTTCCCTAGCCTGACCTGTTGCAGCATGGCTACCAGACATTACAGCTCTAATTAGTTACTAACCCAGAAATTTTTTATACTAAGGTCACCTTGTAAGTTAGAGGTACAGCTGAGAAATTCACTTAAATCTTAATTTTCTACATGTGTAGGTGAGAGGCAGATTTTATTACACCATTCAGAAGACTCTTTGAAGGAATCTAATGCACCTTTTGTTCCATAATTCAGATTTATTTCCAGGAACTGTTTCCAGTAGCTGTTCTGGTGCATCTGCTGCTCTGGGACATGAAGACGCCTCATTGGCTAAGCACAGCGAAAGAATGAATCCTCAAATGGGACATATATATGCTGAGACCTTATGGTTTAACTTTGCCTAGCTAATTAAAAGTTGTCAGGGGTTTATCCCTGGGGCAAGGCGTGGGACTAGAGCCAGTTTCCAGCCAACCAAGACATAGTGCAGTGGTGGGGTCTGTCATTGGTATGTGTTTCCGGAGCAACTGTGCCCTCTTGATTACATGGTATCTTGTAGATAGAAGCTTAGTTTCAGTGAAAAAGTAACTTTAATTACTGTCTAAGCACTGATAATTATTTAAGGTGGATGTTTCTTCCGTGGGTTCTCACAATAGTACTTGATTTTCCCTAGGCAGACAGTCACAAGGTGGGTTACTGTGACCAGAAGCATTCCATGTTTCTTTTACAGCAGGGTGCAGTTGTGTGTACTTAGATGCACGTACTTAGCAATTACTCCAAGTTGTGGGCCGGACTGAGAGCTTGTGTCAGTTGATTCAGATCTGATAATAATGGCCTGATGTCTGTCGATTGGTGGCTAAAAAGCACTTGTGTAGAAATCTCTTATCTTAGGGAAGTACACATTAACTGCTACCATGTCCCCTTCCCTCCTCTCTCTTGTTTTGCAGCGGTGAATACGCTTTGGCAGAATACACCGAAGTGAAAACTGTCACCATTAAACTCTCCCAGAAGAGTTCATGAGGACAGAAGGCCTAAAACGCTGACACTCTGAATGTGACACATGGGGACGTGTTCAGAGCAAGGGGGAAGGGAGGGGTAGGAAGGAAAATGGAAACACCTGACTTTATTCCTCTAAAAACACTGAATCTACTGGACTCCATCCTGTCAACTGGCTCTTTGAAAACTGATTTAAGTGACCCTACTGACAGCACAGCACACACTTGTACCGTACAAGTCCCTGGCTCTACATCGGTCTGCTGCCTGTGACTAAAATGCTGGTGAGTCACAGTGTTTGCCGGACATCTGCTTTCAAACCGTACCCTGACGTACGCGGACATCAAGGGCACATCAGAGAGACTTCTGGTACCTTCTGTTACAACACCTGCAGAAGCACATGGGTTTCACTTGGCATAAATGGACTTGAGGGGTGGGGGTTAAGACAACCTGACTGAAGTTGGCGGCGTTTACGTGGAGATTGCAGCCGGAGTTTGGAAGTGCAAGCTTTCTTGGAAGGGTCTGTTAAGAAATTCTCTTTGAAAGAGCTATCTTGGTCTCTCTAAAGATACAGACATTTTCCATATTGGTGATATTCTATCCCTGAATGAGGTTTGTGAGAGTTTCGTAGAGGACTCCTTCAGGGCCAGTATTTCACCCAACAGAGCTAGACTTCCAAGTGTCCTTGGAACCTGACGTTTTGGTGTGCGCACATTACACATGCTGCAAATGCAAGTTACTGACTTGCTAACCCTTCTGGCTCCAAATGAGTCACAATTGTTTCTCAGACCTTCACTATAGCACTTTTCGCAAGAGGATTTTGCACTGTATTTACTGCAATGACACCGAGTTAAATGCTAAGCATGTAGCATGGTAGATATCCCACAGAAAACATCCCACGCCAGTCCTTCTGATCTGGGGGAGGGAGCAGAAGAGCTGCAAGAAGCTCTCCCTGCTCTCTCTTCCTCTGTAACTTTCAGGCTGCGTGACCATCTCTTCATTTTTTGAGCCAGGGCTATTATTACGAGAGTAAACCTTATAAGCTCTTCTCACTGCTTCTTTATCCTGTATGAATGTAGCTTAAAATAACTTTCTGGAAGTACAGTATGAAAAGGCAGGTGCTCCCAAGCACACCCTGAGTGCTGAAGATGTGGGTGTACAAACCAGTTACCATGGAATAAGCTATGGCTGGACTTAAATGTGTCAGCAGCTTTGCAGTAATTGTCCTCCTGAGTGCTGTCATCTTGTGGCAAGCACAGAGTAGCTGCTACTTCACTGAGGACTAAACTGCCTTGAATTTTTTCTTGCTTACAGTTCCGTAAGCCTGCACGACATGTATAGCATCCATGGAGTGGCTGTCACACCAGGTTTATGCCACAGTATCTCCTGCAGTAGCTTCTTTGCGTTCACAGACAGGAGATTAATGACAAGCCACATGCTGTCTTCAGTTCTTGGCTTCACTCCTTTCCCTCCTTCTCCTCCTGATTCCGTATTGGAGAACCACCGGGAAACATATGGGAAGTTCCGTGTCCACAGGAGCTGGTGTTAGTGGTGTCAGCTTTTTAGGAAGTTCACCTCATCTCGCTGGGATTGTCCTCTGAGAGCAAACAGCTAGAGATTCCTTGTGGCCTATCGACGGATCTCCGCAGAGCACCGGTAAAGTCTGCTCCTCAGAGTTTTCCAGATGGCAGGTCAAAACCTCTGTCCTCTGATGCAGGCAAGGATTTAACCGATACCTTCCTTTGCTCAGAGATACACCCTGTCGGTAACAAGTTCTGTTGCATGAGTGGACCTTTATTTGGAGGAGGAAGGAAGGTGGGTGGTGACAAGTAAGGATAAAGTTTGCATGAGCCTAAACTTCCTTATTAGTGAGTGAACGTTGAAATTGCACTTCAACACTGCTTAACTTCGTCAGTGACATACCTCCCACAGTTCCCCGTACTGAGGTGCCCGTGCTCCTGGGGGTATGTGAGACAGCTAAATCTCTCCATCCAGTGAAGAAAATGTCCTCCCTTCCCCGTGAAAGGCCAAATGGGAACATTGTAAATAAGTTTTTATTTTTTTAAAATGCTTAGAGTGCAAACATCTTCTCAGACAAACATTTTACTTTTGCCTACTTGATCGTTTTCCAGGGCTGCAGCCAGACAGTAGGGAGATAAGGCAAACAGTAAAAGGCTGGTTATCACGATGTAGCTCTATTAATTTTTTATAAACAGTGGTTGAAACTGAAATAATCTGAAATTCTTAAAATCCTAGTATTCTGGCTTTATATGTATGATATATATATTTCACCTCTTTTTCTTCCCCCTTACAAAGTTTTAAAAAAGTCAGTGTATCTCTTACTGTATAAATCAGGGTTTGACTCTACACACTGAATTTTCTAAGTTATATAACACTAGACACTAACTTTAAAATAACCCCTTAGAGGGTATATATTCTTTCATTGCACAGTAAGGCTTTCATATGAAATACTACTTTTTTAATTAAATAAAGAACTATATTTATAAATTAGGATACAGTTAATCTAATGTATTTTTATAGCTAAAGGTACATGAAAATCTTATGTTTAAACCTCATGTATATATTTAGACTATGGGTATCTTTTTTGTAATAGTTCTCATTCCTAATAAATGTTTGACTTTGTGAAATGGTTTCTAAGTGCTACAGACTGATATTGCTCTGAGAGGGAGGTGGGGGAGCAGGACGCTTCTAGTGACATTATTCATTTCAACAGAGGATAACTTGAATGCTTTTTTTATTTGCACTGATCAGTGCTTTCAGATAATTCCAGCCCTTCTAATGCACGTATTAAGTCTCATTCCATCAGCAGGCAACGTCCACTCAATCTGTCTGTCTCTGTTTTTTTTATTTCATTCTGAATTTGGCCCATTGTGCCAATAAAAGTAAATACTGGAAAGAGTTACGGTTTCATGCTCCCCAGACAAAATGGCCCTGTATTGCTGCAGTCAGAGGGGGCTCTTCCTTGAGCAGCCTTGCGTCTGTTCCCCTTGGTTTGGCGATCCAGCAGGAGTCCCCAAGTGGCAACGTGCACTGAGCTCACAAGAGACAACGTAATTTTGAGGTACCTATTTGACCGTCTGCATGTGTGTATCTGGGGAGTCAGTATCTCACTACGGGGGACTGGGAAGGAATCGGAACTTGGATACATTTCTGCAATTTGTGAAGAGTTAGCCTATTCTAAAAAAAAAGAAATAAGGTGTAGTGCCGAAGTATGATCAGTGCTCTGCACCTAAAAATCCGGAGCATGTGTCTAATCGCTTAGCTTTTAAGCAGTCGCTTTTATAAATTGTCTCATTTACAGTAAGCAGAGGGGGAAGGAGAGCAGAGCTGCAGCTGGCAGGGGCAAGCACAGCTTCTCCCAGTGCAAAGCTGGGTGAATCCTTTTAACCTTCTGAGGTGAGCCTCAAAATGGAGAATTTGAAAGGACCACACTGCCAGATGGGGCTTCCTGCCCTGCTCTGGCTGCTCCCTGAACCCCTCTGGGACACATCCATCGCTTACGTGGCTCTGCTAAATACGCTCCTGTTTCTGGGGCGAAGAAAATTATCTTGAATGTCCAGAGAAATTCCTGCTAGGGAAAGTTGGACTGTCTATTGAAATAAAGTTATTTGAGTGGGTTTTCAAATGATGGTGCTAAAAAACTGTAAGAAAGGTCTGGGTAAGAGAGGAGCTGCGAGGCACAAGAGCAGCAGTGTGGGTAACAAGTGGAAAGGCTGCTAAAACCAGGTAACACCGCTACAGCTGCACCCAATAGGAGATTAATGGAGACCTGGATATGAGTAAAAGCAGCAGCAAAACCCCGTCCTCTTTGTGTCTCCGTAATCACATCCAAGTAAGGCTCTAGGCAAATCTCCGGCTGTTTTAGCCATTCGGTGAGCGGATACGGCCTTTTCCACCCTCGAGTGGTCAGCAGAGACCCCTTTCTTGGTAGGGACCAGGGAAGGAAAAACACTTGTGCATGTAGCATAGAGACTCGTTATGAATAACAAAGCAAACGGCGTGCAGAAACTGTCGTGTCTTAAGAGGTGCGAGAGGAGGACGGTCAGGCTGTGAGCGGTTCCCGGTGCTGAAGGGGTTTGTAACGGGAAAAGACAACGCCAGGTGCCAGCTGGAGCGTGTCACACGCCTGCGGAAGGAAGGGGGCAACCTCGCTTTGCTTTTCTGCAGAGGAGCAAACTCCACGCAGGGAGCTGGGGAAGGAG